CATTTAAGGAGCAGGTGGTGGAAGCAAATTATATTCATAATTTTAAAACTAGTATGATAGAGAAATAGGACCGGAGTTATTGCTGTAAACAACCGATGGCTCGAAAGGCGGGATCCAAGAGTCAATGTTCGATCCTGCAGACACAAATAGGTGAGTATACACACACACACACACACACACACACACACACACACACACACACACACACCTACAGGCGAGTTTCCCTAACTTGTATACCACGCAAGGTGATGGAGAAGATCATAAGAAAAAGGCTTGTAGAGCATCTGGAGGGAAATAGTTTTGTAACACACCAACAACATCGGTTCAGAGATGGTAAATCGTGCCTCACAGGTTTAATAGAATTCTATGACCAGGCAACAAAAATTAGGCAAGAAAAAGAAGGGTGGGGAGACTGCATTTTCTTAGACTGCCAAACAGTCTTTTACACAGTACCCCATAAAAGCTTGTTAAAAAAGTTGGAGCAACAGGCAGGAGTAAAAGGGAAGGTGCTCCAGTGGATAAAGGAGTATTTAAGCAACAGCGAGTAACTGTGAGGCGGGAAACATCAGAGCAACGAGATGTCACCAGCGGAGTCCCACAGGGCTAAGTACTTGGACCCATCCTGTTTCTATTACATGTAAAAGGTCTTCCGGAGGGTATAGACTCGTTCCTCTCAATGTTTTCTGATGATGCAAAAATTATGAAGAATCAAGACAGATGAAGATAGACTGAGACTACAGGATGACAAACTGGAGGAATGGTCTTTAAAATGGCTGCTAAAGTTCAACTCAGGAAAGTGTAAAGTAATGAAATTAGGCTAGGGGAGCAGAACGCTGAACACAAGGTACCATCTGAGAGGTGAAATCTTGCAAGAGTCAAATAGAGAGAAAGATCTGGAGGTTCATATCACACCGAACTTGTCCCAAGAGGCCCACATCAAAAGAATATCATCAGCGGCATATGCTAGGTTGGCCCACATAAGAACTGCCTTTGGAAACTTGTGTATGGAATCGTTCAGGACCCAGTATACCACTTAAGTCTGACCAATCCTGGAATATGGAGCTCCAGCCTGGAATCCATATCTAGTTAAACACAACACAAAGTTAGAGAAGGTTCAGCGGTATCCAACCAGGCTCGTCCCGGAACTGAGAGGTATGTGCTACGAGGAAGGCTATAGGAGCTGAATTTCATGCCCCTGGAAAACAGAAGAGTAAGGGGGAGACATGATAACCACCAACAAAATACTCAGGGGAATTGTCAGGGTGGACAAAGACAAACTCTTCAGCACGGGTGGAACTCGAATAAGGGGACAAAGGAGGAAACTTAGTACCCAAATGAGCCCCAGAGACGTTAGAAAGAATTTGTTCAGTGTCAGAGTAGTTAATAAATGGAATGCACTAGGAAGGGATGTGGTGGAGGCTGACTCCATACACAGTTTCAAATGTAGGTATGATAGAGCCCAGTAGGCTCAGAAATCTGTACACCAGTTGATTGACCGTTGAGAGGTGGGACCAAAGAGACAAAGCTCAACCCCCGCAAGCACAACTAGATGAGTACAACTAGGTGAGTACACACACACACTCACACATATGTAAGAACAATCCTGAAGTATGCGGGCCTAGCATGGAGTCCATACCTTCTCAAGCACAAAACGAAGCTGGAAAAAGTTCAGAGGTATGCCACTAAGCTAGTTCCAGAACTAAGAGGCATGAGTTACGAGGAAAGGCTGAGTGAACTGCACTTCACGTCGCTGGAAGACAGAAGATCTCGGGGAGACATGATTACCACATACAAAATTCTCAGAGGTAATAGAAAGCTAAATGGATAGATAGATAGAAAACTAGATGGCTAGATAGGAAGATAGAGAGGATAGATGAACAGAAACCTAGATGGATATAAAGACTGATGTATAGATAGATAGAATGATAGATGGATATAAAGACTGATGGATAGATGGCTCCAGAGATAAACGGATTGAAAGATAGGTGGGTGGGATAAATGGATAGACAGATGAGTAGATGGACGGATGGATAATTGGATGGATAGGTTGATGGATTGATATACAATTAGATAAATAGATTAGATGGGCAGGTGAATAGTATTGATAGGTGAAATGATAGTTGGATGGATAGATGTAAAAAAGATGAGTAGGTACATGGATAGATAGATAAATGAAAGCTAGATGGACAGAGAGATAGAAAGCTAGGTTGATATATAGATTGATGAGTATATGGCTTCACAGATGGATGGGTGGATAGATATAGCGATAGATATATAAATAATTGGACAGAGAGATGGACTGCTAGACAGATGGATGAATATAAGGATGGACAGATAGGTGGATAGGTAGATGAAAAGATGGATAGATAGAAGGGTGGATATATTGATGGATTGAATAGATATATTGATGTTATAATATATATGATATATTAGATGATGATAGATATATAATGATGGACAGATGGATAGATTGAAGAGTCGATAGTCGGTGAGAAAGATAGATGATTAAATTAATGGATATCTGGATGCCAAGACAGGTAAATTGATGGATTGATAAAACAATAGAATTTTAAAAAGATGGATAGACAGACAGACCCGGGCATCGCCGGGTATCCCCTCTAGTATCTCTATATAAAGCAATTATTTGAGTTACGAATGGAATACTTGCGAAACACATACCTCCATATTGGATCTACAAGATTAGGACACGTGTTCACTTTATAAACATTCGTGTTCATAAGAACCTTTTGGAATAAGCCAGCATGTTTAAATAACATTAGTGGTGTAAGCGAGAGCTGTATTACGGTGGCTTTACTCTAGGTATGATTAGTTCATTCTCAGGGTGATTATCTCACTTTTAGGACGATTGCTTTTCTCTTAAGATGACTGGTTCACTCTAAGCATTATTGGTTCAAGTTTAAGATCAATGGTACACTCTATGATTTACTGAATCACTCAAAGGATAATTTGCTATATTTCGGTATAATTGATCCACTTTCAGGATGATTAGTCGAGTCTCATAATTAATGGTTTGAGTTCAGAAGGAATGATTGATACTTAACATGATCGGTACAGGTTCCGGTTACACTTATAAAATGTTTGCTTCATTCTCAAAGATTGGCTGTCTTTAAGGATAATTAACTAACTCCAAGGATAATTTGGCATATTTTAGAATGACTTGTTTCCTCTATCAAGCTGAGTATCTTCCACAGGATGGTTCGTTCCCTTTCCGGAAAATCGCGTCTCTCTCAAGATGGTAGTTTCACTCTCAAAAGGACTGGTGTACTCAGAGGATGACTGATTCGTTCTCAGATTGAATAGTCGAACTTATGGATAATTAGGAAACTAGTAGACTGATTGGCTACCTTTCTCACGATAATTGGTTCACTCTTAGAATGCTTGGTTAATTCTCATAATAATTTTTTCACTAAGAGAGCAATTAGTTAATTTTCAAAAGATTGAATCACTTTCAGTCGCATCAGGTCACTTCAGGGTGGATAAGGATGAATGGTCTCCCCCACAAGAATGATTGTTTCACTCTCAGGATGAGTGGCCAAATTTCAAAATTACTGGTTCCATCTCATGATGACCGGTTCACTCCTAGGGTAAGCTGTTCAATTATAAATTAATTAAACTCTTAGGATGATTGGTTCATTTGAGAATGATTCGTACACCCTCAGGATGACTGCTTCCCTGTGAGAATGAATGATTCACTCTCACAATGATAATATTCTCTGCTAGTGAATAGTTCACTGTCAGTATGAATGGATCTTTTTCTGGATAATTCGTTCAATTTCAGGATGACTGGTTTCCTAAATGAATGAATAATTCACTCTCTGAATGACAGGTTCACTCTCTGGATGATAGATTCAAACACTCTCTAGATGATTGGTTCACTCTCTGGATGATAGGTTCACTCTCTTGATAATTAACTAATTTTCGTGAGGATTGGATGTCTCTGACGAGGGCGGATACTCTCTTAGGATAATTAATTTACACTCAGTATAATTTATTCACTCTTACGATGATAGGTTCACTTTCATGATGGCTTTCCACTCACTTCATAAATCGTTCACTTTCAGAATGATTTGTGATTTTTTTAGCATGATTTGTTCTTTGTAAGGATTATTAATTCCCTCTCAGATTGAATCGTTCATTTTTAATATGAATTAATAATTTTCAGTATGATTAGTTCAGTGTGAGGATGATTGGTTAACTTTCAAGATGACTCATTAGTTCTCTCTCAGTGATATTGGTTGCATTTATGGATAATTGGTTTATTTTCATGATTTAGGGTTCACTCTTAATTTGAATGGTTCATTCTCGGGAACTTTATATTTATCCTCTTTACATTTACTCTCAGAAAACTTAGTAATTTTTAGAAATATTGATTCACTCTCAGGATTACTGATTCACTCCAACAAAAAAAGGATCATAATTAGGATTATTGGCTCACATTCAGGATTAATGGTTCAAAGCCTGAGCTCAATGTCTTCTAAAGTTATATCATTTGGCGCTATAACTTCCAATACTGTTCTAGTGAGTTTAACATTACTAATCAAAATTTCTAAAAGTACACTGTGTGCTAAAATTCTTATCAACAGCTAATATTATCCCAGTACACTGTCTACTGTGACTCCTTTTACCAACCAATATTACTCCTAGTACACTGTCAACAATTTTTTTGTTAACCATCATATATACATTCCATTCACTTGGGCTGTATGGGTCTCTGTATGGTTATGGGTATATGCTATCATATATTCATTTTTTCTGTCTTGCACTGACAGATATAAAGTTTTGTTTGACTACACACATAGTGTAGCGAGTTGCTGAGCACTCAGCTACGGGGGTGGGGGGGTACGAATTATTACAATGTGTTGCCTTTGTGATCACGTAGGAACTCATGAGTTTCCAAATATTAGAAGCGATGGTCCTTGAGGTTAAGTATCTCTAGGGCCTATATAACCGGAGACTGATCCTTCCCAAGTCATCTGGAGTGCCCCTCTCCAGTTCTTAGGATCGTCGTCTGCACCATCTGAACTTTCCAACATGGTAAGTAGCAAAGATTTGTTATTCAAACTCAGTGTAGCAGCTTTAATTGGCGAATACGTAAGTTGGCAATGGAAAAAAATACTAAATTTAACACGATGTATATTATGATATACAATTGACTAACAGACGCAAAGATGATGGACGTTAATATTCAACCCTGCCTCCTAAATGGTAGCACTGAGAGTAACTGTTTCGTCGGAGGCATCAATATGTAGTGGCAGCCTGCCAACAGTTTATAGTTTTTCTTCTTTTAATTCTATAGAGTCCGGAAACAATAAAGCTAAAATCAAACTTAAACATGCCTAGGCCTAATCCAGCACATATATGTATTTTATTAGGCCCAAGATATTAGGCTTATGAAGGCCTGGAAAAGTCAGGTTAGGTTACGTTCTACATTTTCCTTGGCAGAAATATTTCTAATTTGGCTTAATTAAATAATACCAATGGTACACCTTTTGATGGTCAATCACTGCCTATTGGAACTTACGACGAATAATTTCCCTAATTATGACTTTAGAAGGCTGGGCTATAATATTATTAATTATTCCTTTTTTTAACATTCGCGGTAATATGGGCCATCAGAGCCTTGTACGTGGGACCACAACAGCGGAAGCCCGTAGTCCTATCAATCGTACTGAGACACAACAACAAGGGAGAGCCCAGAAACACCTAACTTTTATCCAGCTACGGCTCTAAGCCTTCCTTAGAGAGCCACTGAGCAGGAAGGTGTCTCTGGGTTCCTTCCTTATTGTGAAACTTATAGGACGTAGGACGAAGGAATCTGTTTTTGTGGTGTTGGTGTTCCTATATATATATACATATATATATACATATATAGGAACCCCAATGTCAGCAACCGGTTCGCGTCTCGCACCGCAGGACTTGCGAATTGCTGTGGCTCTCTGCCTCGCTGTTCCAATCCACACCGAATACAGGTGTATTTGCGGCGAGGAAGTGGCCGACTGGTACGGACGGCATGGCCTTCTCTGCCAAAGGACAGGAGGATGACACACAGAAATCACAATTGTGTGGTGCATCAAATGAACAAATCCACACGGGCCGTGACGAGGATTCGAACCTCGGGGAGTTTGGGGGGAATTGTGTAATATATATATGTATATATATATATATATATAATCTTTGGACAACACCCACCAGTGGGACTCGAACCCAGAAAGCACAACTACCTTCCAGTAGCTGGCATAACTAGTATGCTTTAACCCACTACGCCATCAGACCTTACAAAAGAAGTAGATAGTTCGAGATATATATATCTCAAACATCACTACCTCCCGAAGGCACCAGATGAGTGAGGGGTCAGTCTGCAATTTTCGTCAAGCCACTGTCAATGTGAGAGAACTCGTGTCCAGCTTATAAGCCTATACTTGCATAAACCACAAGTGAAGATAAACAATCTTTGGACAACACCCACCAGTGGGACTCGAACCCAGAAAGCACAACTACCTTCCAGTAGCTGGCATAACTAGTATGCTTTAACCCACTACGCCATCAGACCTTACAAAAGAAGTAGATAGTTCGAGATATATATATCTCAAACATCACTACCTCCCGAAGGCACCAGATGAGTGAGGGGTCAGTCTGCAATTTTCGTCAAGCCACTGTCAATGTGAGAGAACTCGTGTCCAGCTTATAAGCCTATACTTGCATAAACCACAAGTGAAGATAAACAATCTTTGGACAACACCCACCAGTGGGACTCGAACCCAGAAAGCACAACTACCTTCCAGTAGCTGGCATAACTAGTATGCTTTAACCCACTACGCCATCAGACCTTACAAAAGAAGTAGATAGTTCGAGATATATATATCTCAAACATCACTACCTCCCGAAGGCACCAGATGAGTGAGGGGTCAGTCTGCAATTTTCGTCAAGCCACTGTCAATGTGAGAGAACTCGTGTCCAGCTTATAAGCCTATACTTGCATAAACCACAAGTGAAGATAAACAATCTTTGGACAACACCCACCAGTGGGACTCGAACCCAGAAAGCACAACTACCTTCCAGTAGCTGGCATAACTAGTATGCTTTAACCCACTACGCCATCAGACCTTACAAAAGAAGTAGATAGTTCGAGATATATATATCTCAAACATCACTACCTCCCGAAGGCACCAGATGAGTGAGGGGTCAGTCTGCAATTTTCGTCAAGCCACTGTCAATGTGAGAGAACTCGTGTCCAGCTTATAAGCCTATACTTGCATAAACCACAAGTGAAGATAAACAATCTTTGGACAACACCCACCAGTGGGACTCGAACCCAGAAAGCACAACTACCTTCCAGTAGCTGGCATAACTAGTATGCTTTAACCCACTACGCCATCAGACCTTACAAAAGAAGTAGATAGTTCGAGATATATATATCTCAAACATCACTACCTCCCGAAGGCACCAAGATTGTTTGGTGGGTGTTGTCCAAAGATTGTTTATCTTCACTTGTGGTTTATGCAAGTATATATATATATATATATATATATATATATATATATATATATATATATATATATATATATATATATATATATATATATATATATATATATATATATATATATATATATATATATATATATATATATATATATATATATATATATATATATATATGGTATGTACCCATAGCCTCGGAAAAGAAAATAAAGAATATTCAGAGAAGACCTTGTGAATTCTCACTGAACACTTTAAAATTTTCTTATCCTACCACCCCTATTCTTTTGGTATATATACATATATATATGTTTTATATAAACTTTGGTACAAAAAAGGAGTTGCATATAGAGTACAAAGTTGATTATCCCTGAATGCAGTGTGCATTTCCCCTCAGTATTGCCACGTTGAGACGCTGGAAAAGGAAGCTAGTAGCTCTAGGGTTTCTGTTGTTTCAATTAGCCTAGAACCCAGTTCCATAAAAAAAAACTGGTGGAACTCTTACCCCAGGCGCCGAGTCTCTCGGAAGCAATGGAGACAAAACTGTAGTGGAGAACCAGTTCTCTGTACTTACGGGATTTGCTAATTTCTTGTGAGAGGCAGTGCCACCCGGATGTGCAACACTAAAGTCAATGTAGGTGTTAGCCAGGGTTGATACACATGTGTAGTCCCATACCAACTCCTTGCCATTCTTCCAGAGGTTCACTGTGATACCATCCGGGCGACCAATAAGAGCATCAGTGTTATGGGGCATTAGGTAACGAGGCTCTCTCTCACCTGGGCTTTTAGCTGTGGTGAGGCTCTTCTTGATGATGTCGTTAAATTCACTGTGCCTCGAGTGCCGTCCCCCTGTGCTTTGGCAGAGTAAGCCATGGTGGCAGTACCTGTCGGCCACCACCTCATGACAAATACACCTATATTCGGTGTGGATTGGGAAAGCAAGGCCCGAGTAAACCTGAAAAGACAGAGGGCCACAGCAATTTGGAGGGCGTGTGGTGTGAGACGTGTGCCAGCTGCCGACATTGGTTGCTAACTGGGAGTCTCCTGCATGTGAGGCTGCTACTGCTGGGAGGTGAGCAATGTTGTGTTGTGTTGTTGCAGCACCCAGGCACTCTGTAGCAACTTGGTCTACAATTGGGCCTTCCCAGCTGGTTTTCTTATGTATGTATGTATGTATCTATCTATCTATCTATCTATCTATCTATCTATCTATCTATCTATCTATCTATCTATCTATCTATCTATCTATATGTATATATATATATATATATATATATATATATATATATATATATATATATATATATATATATATATATATATATATATATATATATATATATACTATATACAGTTTTGGAGAACTCCTCTTTCAGCTAAGCCCTGATGCTAAGAAAATAGTTAGAGGGATAGAACCCCTAAATCAGAATTATTTTATATATATATATATATATATATATATATATATATATATATATATATATATATATATATATATATATATATATATATATATATATATATATATATATATATATATATATATATATATTAACATTCTCATCAATGTACATTGTGTGGTTGCAGGTGGGTGCAGTGTTCCTGATAGCGGCTATGTGTACTCTGGCAACTGGTCTCCCGATCTACCCCTACCCACTGTTTGTCCCATACCCGGTTTACAATCCTTTTCCTCTCCATGAGTATGGTAATAAGTTTTGGTATTAGTTACTTAAAATAGTTTGTACCGTATTCCCAATCATTTAGGCGGTTTCTCATATGCTGTATCAGTATTAAGAAGAAATAAATGTTTCAAAGTGCAAGCTGACCACTGATAGTTTATTAAGAATGTTTGATGTGAAGAACTTCGTCAAAATATAATATTCTATTGTCGTTGTATCTGTGTATTATTTCGGTGTTGATGGTCAGGGTATCTCTTGTGATAGTCTGAGTGTGTGGAGAAATTGTGTTTTTTAGCGGAACCTTATTGTTTGTTCAGTAGACTTGAAAGATATGTTAAACAGGTTGAATTAGATAACATAATATATAACAAAAAACACAAGTATACGTAAAAGAAAAAACTCTGTCCCTGAATTGTGATTTACAAACAAAAATCTTCTGGAACTTTCTGTCATTAGTAGTTATCCTCAATCCTTACTACAAATATCTACCTCGGGCATCTCTCATCTCCTGTTCCATTCTCCCAAAATTTTCCAGTTTTTTCCTTAAACTGTTGATCTTTGGTCCTCCACGAACCGTCTGTGGATCTTTTTTTTTTTTAATGAGACTGGCGTGTTTACCTTTCCACTTTAAACATCGTCCATGCAAACATCAAGCGTAGACTTATTTGTGCAAAGTTGCAATGGAAACAGTATAAGTTCCAGCTATTTGCCAAAATGATCCTTTTACAACAACTCTGAACATAAGTTTTTTGCCAAAATATAAACGGTATAGATCTACATAACTTTAATACTGAAGATTTCGTAACTGATCTTTCAAAATCCTGCAGATTCGTCTGGCCGCCGAAGGTATACGACTTAAAGGTACATGGAGACGCTCCATATCCCTATGACTCAAATCAGGAAATCGGAGGGAAGTAGTATCAAGTTATGCTTTGGTAGTAGTGAAAGCAGAGAAAGTTTTAGTAGTAGAGAGAGCAGTGCTTTTTTGAGGGGGGGGGTATTCAGTCACAACAAACACAAGAGAATAATTTGGTTTCTGAGGAAATGAGGACTAACTAAATCAATAAATTTTAACAACTTAGTCAATTAGGAACATATTAGTTTTTATTCCATGTCCCTATTTATATATTAAATATTTCGCAAAAGAAAAATACTGAAACACATATAATAATTGCAACCAAATAGGCATTTTAAAAGAAAATTGTAGCTACAAGGATTTGCATTGGGTAACAAATTTGTTAGAAATGTGTGTGGCATAAGAGCTGATGCTCGAGTCTGCAAACACATGTACGAGAAACATTTAGGAGATTTTTTAAGAATTTTGCAGAACCAAATTTTTGTTATATGGTTACTACCCTGGCTCATGATATCTTTTCTAGGCACCTTCATGCTTCTTCTCTCTTCTTCGGGAACCCTTCTTACATTTTCAGAGAAAACTTTTGATCTTCAGTCATTTATGAAACGTCTGTATAATTTAATTGTTTTAAGTTAAATGTCATGCTTCGTTCTTAATCTTTTGCATTGTTGCTTGACTAATTTTACCCTTACTTCATTCCTTTTTGCCCTCAAAATAGTAATGCTCAAATAATGCTATGTTCTCAATGTACTCTAATATACAGAAAACGTCATATGAAGAACTAGTGGTGTAAAGTCACTGACAAACAATAACGTTAGTGCTGGCAATTTAACAAAACGATCCAAGCTAACAATACCTTTTTGAACATTTGTGGCAAAATGAACAATCTAATTGTACATTACAGTGATGCTGAAGAGATGGTAAATGAAGTTGTAATCTTGCAGACGGCCTAGATCTCCTTGGGGCTGATGATGTTTACGGTCGAAGGCTATACAGGGACGCTGCTTATCCGTATAGAGGAACTCGCGGAATCGTAGGTAAGTTCTGGCTAAAATTTAATAATAATGTGTCGAGGAACAGGCAGACAGAATGTGTTTTTACACGTTAGGCTTAAATCGAGGTCCCCCTAGATATTATTGCCAGGCTCTGATAAGTGTTCACCCATTCCATTTGTTGATCCTGTACTTATGAAATGTTTTATGAGTCTTAATAAGTCTTATGAGTTGTTCATTGGGCTTCGCTGTTTTTATGGGCAAGGCTTTTGTTTTGGTGGGGTTGAGTATGATACCAATCTGTTTTGCCTCTTCACTGATGCAGTCTAAACATTTGGGTGCAAGACTCGGATAGACTTATATTAAGGAACAGAATATATACCTGTTTGCGGTAGAGTGATATGTTACCCAGTAGATGTTGGCTGGAGCATTGGGTGAGGTGTGAACTCGATATTTTGCCTTGGTTGTAGGGGATGGAAGAACGTTTCGAAGTGCAAACAAACCGTTAATAGTTTATTGAGATTGTTTGATGTGTCTAAACTTCGTCAATATATACAATATTCTATTGTCGTTGTGTCTGAGTATTATTTCGGTGTTGATGGTCAGGGTATCTATTGTGATAGTCTGAGTGTGTGCAGAAATTATATGTTCTTTCACGGAACATTGTTGTTTTTTCAGTCGCCTTGAAAGATATGTTAAACAGGTTGAATTAGATAACAGAATATATAACAAAAACACAAGTATACGTTAAAAAAAACTTCTGTCCCTGCATTGTGGTTTTCAAACAATTATCTTTTGGAACCTTCTGTTATTAATAGTAATATACAATCCTTACTACGCATGTCTACTTCGGGCACCCCTCATCTCCTGTTCTCTTCTCCCGATATTATCTTATTTTTGTTTCCTTAAACTGTTGATCTTCGGTCCTCCACGAACCATCGGTGAATATTTTTTTTTTTAATCAGACTGGCGTGTTTACATCTCCACTTTAAACATCGTTCCTGCAAACATGGAGTGCAGACTTATTTGTACAAAGTTGCAATGAAAACAGTATAAGTTCCAGCAATTTTCCCAAAATAATCCTTTAACAAAAATCTGAGCAAAAGATATTTGCCAAAAATAAGCAGTATAGATCTACACAATTTAAATTCTCAATATTTCATAATTGGTCTTTTAAAATCCTGTAGACCTTCTCGTTCGCCTGGCGACCGAAGGTATACGATATAAAGGTACATAAAGACGCTCCATATCCATATGATTTAAGTCAGGAAATCGTAGAAAAGTTGTATCAAGAAATGTTTTGTAAGTAGTGAAAGCAGAGAAAGTTTTAATAGAAGAGAAGGTAGTGTTTATGGGTGGTTTTAAGTGATAATAAACTCAAAAGCATTATGTGATTTCTCTGAGAAAATGAGGACTAATTAAATCAATAATTATTAACTACTCAGTCAATTAGGAACATGTTAATTTTTGTTATTCCTATTTATATATCAAATATTTCACAAAGGAAAAAAGATGAAACACATATAATAATTACAACCAAACAGACATTTGAAAAGAAAAACATAGCTATAAACTTTTGCATTGAGCAACAAATTGTTAGAAATGTGTATATGACATATAAGCTGATGCTCGCCAAAATGCAAACACATGTACGAGACACATTAAAGTGAATTCTTAAGAATTTTGCAGAACCAAATTTTTGTTCTTTGATCAAGTCCCTGGCTCATGATATCTTGTCTGCGCACCTTCGTGCTCCTTCTCTTTTTTTAGGGAACCTTCTTGTATTTTCAGAGAAAACTGTTGATCTTCAGTCATTTATGAACCCTCTGCATAATTTTATTTTTTTAAGTTAAACTGACATGCTTCGTTCTTAATCTTTTGCATTGTTGTTTGGCTAACTTTATCTTTACTTTTTTCCTGTCTGCCCCTCAATAAAGCCATGTCCATATAATTTTATTTTCTCAACATACTGTAATATACAAAAATCGTCACATGAAGAACTAGTGGTGCAAAGTTACTGACAAACAATAACGTTTGTGCTGACAATTTGACAAAACGATCCAAGCTAACAATACCTTGTTGAACATTTGTGGCAAAATGAACGATGTAATTATACATAACAGTGATGCTGAAGAGATGGTAATTGGCGTTGTAATCCTGCAGACGGCCTAGATCTCTTTGAGCCTGATGATGTTTACGGTCGAAGGGTATACAGGGACGCTGCTCATCCATTTGGAGGATCTAGAGGAACCGGAGGTAAGTTCTGACTATAATTTAATAATAATCTTTCTGGGGACAGGCAGACAGAGTGTGTTTATACACGTTAGGCTTAAATCCAGGTTCCTCCCCTCCCTGAGATCAAATTACTGACCCCATTCAGGATGCAACCCACACAACAAGCTGATTAACTCCTAGGTACCTGCTTGCTTCTTACAGCTGCATTAGGTGATAAGATATGCATCCAACCGACACTGTACTACTTGGACCCGGCTATAAAGGTGTTGAGGTGGATGTAAGTGAGAATGTGGGCAGTGTATACTGTGATTACTTTGAGGAACTAAGGCTTAACTAATTTCAACTATATTGAATTCAAAATAGGTATGTCTTGGCTTGGCTCTTCATTTTGCTAACTTATGTTGAAAAATTTCACAACAAAATATCTTAATTTGAAAAAAAAACACAGGCATTTGGAAAAAAAACACAGGCATTTGAAAAAAAACACAGGCATTTGAAAAAAAACACAGGCATTTGAAAAAAAAACACAGGCATTTGAAAAAAACACAGGCATTTGAAAAAAAACACAGGCATTTGAAAAAAACACAGGCATTTGAAAAAAAACACAGGCATTTAAAAAAAAAGCACAGGCATTTGAAAAAAAAACTCCTGGGAATAAACTTTTTCCCTAATCAACAAAAGTTCGACCCTGCACAAATATGTAAGTAAGCCCAGTTAGGTGGGGCGCATCCGATTCCTCGATCGTCGTCACCCCTCGACCAACAGCAGTTAGGTTAATTTTGAGGAGTTTGTTGCTACCAACACAGAGTGTAATAGCACGTAACCAGACGGCTTGCACTTGTTGTCATAATCAAACACCTTGCAAACATTAAGTAATTAAAGCAAAAAATATATAGACAGCAGCAAATCGAGAGTTAGTACATGAATTATTTATACAAACGTAGTATTTAGATTGAGAGCAAGGATCCTCAATAATCCTCATGGGTGACTTAAGAAATCCAGAAAAATATTGAGAAATAAAAAATTGTAATAGAAAACGACATGTTGGAGTATCGAAGGGAAGACTATGAAGGGATACGAGACGTACAAACAAATCGGTGGAAAGAAGCATTTAAATTTAGTTCAGTTTTAAATCAAATTTAGAACGTGAATAAGCAAGGGTCATAGGTTGAAGCAAGGTATATTCTCAAATAAACGGAAAGGAAATCAAGGCAGAAAAATTTCCCTTATATAATAATTTAAAGACGTTAAAGTTTGACTAGAAAAACAAGTAAAATAGCTGAAAACCAGGACAAAGAAGAATATAGAGATCATCAGTATAACAGAACATTAATGCGAACACATGAAGAATTCAGAAGGAACATTTTTAAAATGTTCCTTTTCAAATTATAGCCTTGAAATGCCAAAATGCCAAATATGCTAATATGCCAAACATGCCAAATACGATAATATATAATAATATTAATTTATGTTTGAGAAAACTACTATTTTGAATGAGCAACATGTTAAAATTGATGAATGCGTCTTTGGTTTTGGCAGTCGTGAGCACAGCCTGAGATTGGATTGCATTCTCAGACTTTGGCTTCAATTACTGATAACTGTTTCATTTACAGAATTCAGTGGGCATAATAGAGGCTTTCATGGCGAGTTCCAAGGCCAGACGAAATCGGCGAGCAGCGAATGGGCGGGGTCCGGTGTCTCCTCCAGTAAGTCTTCAATGTTCTCATTTTAAGTTAATGATCAATACTCTAATGTGGTAATATCTTAGAAGAAATTTCCTGATGTATTGCAGACGCCTCGTGTATTTAATGATACTAAACAAAATTATTTTCTGACGATTGCTAACATTTTAAATTATTTTAAAATGTTAGAGAGAGAGAGAATCTCTCTCTCTCTCTCTCTCTCTCTCTCTCTCTCTCTCTCTCTCTCTCTCTCTCTCTCTCTTCTCTCTCTCTCTCTCTCTCTCTCTCTCTCTCTCTCTCTCTCTCTTCTCTCTCTCTCTCTCTCTCTCTCTCTCTCTCTCTCTCTCTCTCTCTCTCTCTCTCTCTCTCTCTCTCTCTCTTTCTCTCTCTCTCTCTCTCTCTCTCTCTCTCTCTCTCTCTCTCTCTCTCTCTCTCTCTCTCTCTCTCTCTCTCTCTCTCTCTCTCTCTCTCTCTCTCTCTCTCTCTCTCTCTCTCTCTCTCTCTCTCTCTCTCTCTCTCTCTCTCTCTCTCTCTCTCTCTCTCTCTCTCTCTCTCTCTCTCTCTCTCTCTCTCTCTCTCTCTCTCTCTCTCTCTCTCTCTCTCTCTCTCTCTCTCTCTCTCTCTCTCTCTCTCTCTCTCTCTCTCTCTCTCTCTCTCTCTCTCTCTTTCTCTCTCTCACTATCTCTCTGTCACATTGAAACTAGCTATAAATTATCTGGAATAGGCACATTTCCCAATACTGTATTGTCAAAATTGTTGTCATGATACTTTTCTTCGCAGATCTTCGAGGTCTCCACCGCGGCTCAGGTCATCTTGGCGGTTCAACTGGAGCCAGCGCCCATCAACTGCATAAGTGAGAGTATCAACATTTATATCTAAAGGGATATGTGATTAACCACAATAAATATACTACCAATGGCCAGTTTTCTTTGTGTCTACTTCTCAACAAATTTATAATTTATGCTCGTATTATAAAAACAAATATATATATAGGTAATATGCCCACATATTACTCCTAGCAGTATGGGTTCGAGTCACTTCTGGGGTGTGAGTTTTCAGTTGCATATAGTCCTGGGGACCATTCAGGCTTGTTCGCATTTGTGTTCCTCACGTGTGCCACAAAGAATGAGGTGATTTGATAAAATGTTATGCCCAAGATTACCATCCGAATGCCGGCGGGGAAGTGGTTCAAATAGCTTCGGCTATCACTTTCTTATGTCCGGTCGTGATGGTCAAGCGGATTAAGGCGTCCTGTACATACCAGGTGCGTTGCTCCTGGCAGTATGGGTTCGAGTCACTTCTGGGGTGTGAGTTATATATATATATATATATATATATATATATATATATATATATATATATATATATATATATATATATATATATATGTCGTACCTAGTAGCCAGAACTCACTTCTCAGCCTACTATTCAAGGCCCGATTTGCCTAATAAGCCAAGTTTTCCTGAATTAATATATTTACTATAATTTTTTTTCTTATGAAATGATAAAGCTACCCTTTTCTTTATGTATGAGGTCAATTTTTTTTTATTGGAGTTAAAATTAACGTAGATATATGACCGAACCTAACCAACCCTACCTAACCTAACCTAACCTATATTTATAGGTAAGGTTAGGTTAGGTAGCCAAAAAAAGCTAGGTTAGGTTAGGTTAGGTAGGTTAGGTAGACGAAAAAACATTAATTCATGAAAACTTGGCTTATTAGGCAAATCGGGCCTTGAATAGTAGGCTGAGAAGTGCGTTCTGGCTATTAGGTACGACATATATATATATATATATATATATATATATATATATATATATATATATATATATATATATATATATATATATATATATATATATATATATATATATTCTTTTGCCTATAGGACATGGACAGGACATGCAGGCTGCAACAGCACTCAGTGAGATATTGTGCACTTAATCATAGAAAGTGATAAAATGTGTTTCAACAAGGTATGGTTTTAATTTCATCACATACGTACTTGTTGATTACACAGCATACCCATAACCTATACTGAATTCAGTGGATATCAGCCACACTGTCTTCTGAACTTTCTGTTACTAGTAAATATTATTGACAATACACTGTCTAGTATTTTCTGAACTTTCGAATATTTGCCAATAATACCCTCAAGCTTATTCTATTTTTCTTTGAAATGGAGCTGTACAGTTACCTTGAAAGTTTTCTTTATAATTTGTGCTTCAGATATGAATTATATTTAATAAGTCAATAACAAATTACAAATCAAAAATTCACAATAGGCCAACATTTAGATTTCCAGAATAATTACTTTTGCTTAGTTGTAAAGATATAAAAAATCTGTTTACGAAAAATATGACACAAAAATAGTTATGTGATAAATAATAATTGAAAAATACTTATAATGTGCGCTACACCATCGTGAATAACAGCTGGCGTATGATGCTTGTTATGGAACATTACCGATAGTCACCATAGTCCCGGTTACTGAGAACTTTTGTTCCGAGCAGCTGATCTAAAACAACAACAACAACTGGGAGTCAATAATATCAAACATCTGAAGTCTATAATATGAAGAAGTTGATGAAGTACCCAGCGGTGCCCTTGTCGACCTGGTGCCGGGACCTCTCTAACACGCCCTCACCATCATCTAATACTCACCCTACCTATCTCCTCCAACAAACACCCCTGAACTCTCACACAAAGGAATGGCAGGATTTTTGTAAAATACTTAAGAGACAATAACATGTCCGTATTCAACTTTGACTCCTCTAATGTCACGCACCTCATGGGTAGTAGGCTTGATTATGTCATTGGTCACGGTCTCATTGATAATGCTGTCGGAGGATCAATTGTTCACGAATTAGTTAGTGATTACTTTGCCATATTCAGTTCATACACTATCAATAATATCAAACCCCTACGCTTTGAAAAAAATAATTAATATCGCTGAAAATTTACACATGTACTTCATATTCCGCATTTCCGAATGGTAGAACACTTACTGTTTTACTACTGTCAACGCATTATATGAGGACCTGGTCACTGAAGTAACCGCTTTTTATGATAATATTGTAAACATCCACAAGACCCAAAACAGTGAGGAAGGGACAGAGGTGGTTCACTGACTCACGCCTTAAGCCCCTGCATGACAGAGTTCTATTCCTAGCTGATTAGTATAAAAAACATAAAACAACTGACACCCTCAACATATTTCTTAAGGCCAGCAGAGAGTTTAGAGAGCTAAAGGAACAGGTGTATAACCAACACTGGGAACAGTTTTTGCAAGGTATCAATCATGCAACATCCTCATCCCAAATGTTGAACAAAATTAAAAAGATTTCTCATCCTAACAGTCGTCAACTTGATCACCATTCACCTATAGACTATGCCGACATGCTGCTTCAGCAATATGCAAGCACTGCCAGTATAAGCAGCCTGCCCCTAGATGTACAACACCATCTGGCTAGTACCAAAATAAATCGTAACTTCAATATTGAAATTGCGTGTAGTGAAATAGGGCCTGATGATAACTATGGCATAATCCCCTTTGAAATTAAAAATGCACTCAAGAAAGGTATAGTTACATCTCCTGGAGAGGATGGCATCACATACAATACCATGAGAGTACTTGCTGAGCTGCCAAATAGTCCTTTGTTAGAATTGCTTAATCAAAGCCTAAGGCAGGTTGTCTTACCCGACCGCTGGACACAGGGACTCATAATACCCATACCCAAGCCTAATTCACAAAAATATAGACCCATTTCTCTGACGTCGTGCATATGTAAAGTTCTTGAGAGGATTATCCTCGACAGACTAATGTTTCAAATTAAACCCCACCTTGCCCCTAACCTGCATGGTTTCCTTCCTGGAAGAAGCACACAAACTTGTTTTGCTGAATATTTTATCAGAGAGAGACCAAACTCTCAGGCGGCATTTATTGATCTCCAAACTGCTTTTGATACAGCAAACAGAGAAATAATCCTAGAACAACTAGCCTCGTTTGGAGTTAAGGGAAAACTGTTGACATGGCTCAGGGGGTTACTTGAGTAATAGAACCGCCTCAATCCTTTTCAAGGGGGGTCAAAAGTAAACTTTGTGCACCCTTTGAGTTGGGTTTACCCCAGGGTAGAGTGCTAAGTCCTACACTGTTCAATGTTCTGATGCACAAATTAACAATTGATATTTCTACACTACCTGACGAAGCCGTTATCTGTTATATCGATGCCATATGAATTGTTGCAAATACCCAAACTAGACTGCAAACTCTACTTGATTCACTCGCTGCTAAAAGCATTGAATATGGTTTTGTTATCTGTATTACTAAATCCAGAGTTCTCCATCCCCAAGAGAAAACTCATGTCCCTATAACTTTCAAGGTCAACAACCAGAACATTGGATCAGGTTGGGTTACCGTTACTTGGGGCAGGTGGCTACAGGTGACGAATCTCCTAATCCTGAGCATTCCAGGGTACAAACTCTTAGAGTAGGAACTGCGGCATGATCTCCCACATTACATCACCGAATGCTCAGTTATTAGACCTTTCAGACCAGTTGGCATGAGGTACCTTGAGCTTTGCAATTACTTTATTCATTCTCGTATTCTTGAGGATATCCTCATATTGCACCCAAAATTTGCCAGTGCAGGCTACTAAACATATGGCCCTGTATGACTAACCATCCTGTGAGATGAAGACTTTTATTACCACTGCTACCTTATTCACTCTTGTGTTGATGATATCCTCAAAATTCATCCAGAGTCTGGCAGTTCAGACTGCCTATCACATGCCTCTGTATGACTAACCATCCTGTGTGACGGGGACTTTTTAGCATCACGTAGTTAATTTTTTGACACACTGTACTCCACTTCATATAGTCTAGGGTAGCTGCACAAATTTAGATGTACCTCATGTATTAATAAAAAAAAAAAATATTCGATATTTTTTCATCAATGCGTTGACGACTACACACACACACGCGTCAGGAATTGAAAAGAATTTAATTGTTCATATATTCACAACTGGCAGAAGTCCAAAGCTTCAAGAAGAGAGTGAAAGCTCTGACAAAACGAACTAAACAGTGAAAATTTTTGTTCGGGAAACCAAAACAGTTTTGTTCTTTTATGTGTTGCTTAGATAAGACCGTGATCCATCACTGACACAACCGACTCTGCATAATTTTTCAGTAAAACAAAGGAAATTAGTTGCCAAAATAGTTAATTCAGCCTTTTTAAGACAGTATTAAGCACCTCTTGCTCCTGTCAACTTTATTAACTGATGAATGATACGTGAAGTTACAAACAACAAAGACATCACCTCGACAGCTCATTAACATGGACTCTAACCTGTCAGAACATTGGTCAACATGCTCACTATACTAGACCAATACGACTTTCAAAACCAATGTGGAAATAATTCCTCACGCACTCTTTACCCTGTAGAGCCCACTACCTTGGAGTGTATCAGAGCAGCCGGTCCTGCTAAGGTTTCCCAACGTCAAGAAACTTTCGTACTAAAGTGCCCTTATCCTAGCCTACCAAAGGACCCAAAACAGTAAATAAAACAGTAGGTCAATTTCGCGAGCCGCAGCCATTTTCTAGTACAACAATTTTTGCCCTTAGGTAGAGTATACGTCAAAATGCTATGTTCTGTTAGGAGGACGGGTTGATCAGAGAGCAATTTTCCAATAATGTTTTGTGATTACGGATATCACTTTAATGCAAATGGGCTGCAAGTAATATGACTGCCACAGTGTGGTCGGACTATTAGCATCATGACAGCGACAGTGTGATTGGTCTTTATGTAACACAGTGGTCACAGAGCGACTGGACTGGAATCCAGTCCAGTTTTGCATTGTGCAGAGCCCATCAATCGCACTACATAGGGCAGAGCCCAACAATCACACTAGACAGAGTGCAGAGCCCATCTGCATTCTGGATTGCCAGAGTCCAGTTGTGTTGTTTATAACATGGTAGTCATGTTTAACATTCACACTATTCTCGTATTTATTTATATATGAAAAATCGCGTTCTCATTCTTTTATATGACAGAGCATGATATGATTTCTATCAACAGAATTTTAATATCCATAACAACGTGCTATACATAGAACTAGACAAGCTTTAGCAAATGGAGCCAAAATTACTTTCCTTTAATTGAAGAAGATTCACTTATAATGCGCAAGTACAGGACAGAAAAAAATCACGAAGCTACATAAAAATGAACGAAACAGTCATAACTAAAATAAGAATTTGTATGGTGCTTTAAAAACCAGCAAATAACTTTAAGATTCAATTTTCAAGTCACTGTATCAGACATATTTATCATCGCTTTCTATAATGCTATTTTCTGTGGTCCTCAACCCATACTTATATCCCAATAAAAATTAAAATAGCCTCTCGAAAGAAATTATACATATAATATTTAAGAACAAACAGGATCACACTGAACCACTATGCTCAACATCGCTCACTATTAAATTATAAATCTCATTATTTGTATTCAAGTACCTGAACAAGCTTATATACTCGCAAATACCAGACAACACGAGATAATTTGTTTATCATCACTCAAGGCTCCCGGTAGTACAGTTGGGTTCGTTCTTAACGCACAATCGAGAATTCCGGGTTCGAATCCCGGCCGGGACAGAATTGGTTGCTTTCATTTCTTTTCGCCTAATGGGTCTATTCACCTAGCAGTAAGTAGGTACTCAGGAGTTAGTCAGTATGTTGCGGGATTGCATCCTGGCCGAGGGGGGGGGTGGCTCGATATAAGCCTAACGTGTATAAATACAATCGGGCTTCCTGTCCCCGACACACTTAATTAAAAAAACAAATAAAATTTAGATTAACCTTGACACACTCGTCTCCTCTACACCATCGTCCACTTCACGGGGTTGTCACATAAAGGAAGGAGTTATCAGGGGAAAGCGCCAAACCATTACGACTATATAGCGCTGGGAAGGGGTCATGGTAAGCATTTGGGATGGGACGTGGGAGAAGGAATGGTGCCCAACAGCTTGGACAGTCAAGAATTGTTTCACTCAGAGGATTATTATCAAGATGACTAGTTCCCTAATGGAAAATCAGCTCACTCTCAGGATAATTGGTTCTCATGCAGGATGAATTTTCACTCTTAGGATAGCTGGTTCCCTCTCTCGGATAATTGGATCTTTCTATGGATAGGTGGGCCTCTTTTATGATGAATAGTTCGCTCTCAGTATAACTAGTTCACTTTAAGATGATTATTTTGCTTTCAGGATAAATTTCAGTGATTAGTTCATTGATTGATTAAATGATTAACACACTTCCAGAATAATTTGTTCTCTCTCAGGAACATTTGTTAATTTACTTAATGATTGGTTTACCTTCGTGATTATTTTTACTCTCAATCTTAATAGTTTACTCTAAACATTATTGATTCACACTGTCTGAGTTTCCTTCTACTATCCAATATTACTTCCAGTAGAAAATCTACTAAACATGCTATTTCTAACCTAAATTATCATTACTACCAGCACATTAACTACTGAGATTTATATTATTATACAATATTTTTACCATAACACTATCTATACGTTTCCTATTTCTAGGAAATAATTCTCCTATTGCACACGCTACTGAGGTTAGTATTATTATTTGATTTTCTATCTCTTGCACGATAGGTGTGTTGTCAAAATGATCACGAGGGAGGCCATGTGCGTGTAAACATTTGAAGCGTGTCCTTGACGTAATCACCTGAGCCTTTATAACCGGTGATCCTTTATATCTCGAGTCTTTATAACTTGATCGTGATCCTTTTCAAGTCATCTGGTGTTCCCCTCTCCAGTTCTTAGCATCCTCGTCCGCTCAAGCTGATCTTTTCATCATGGTAAGCTGCAAAGTTTCAAGCTTTAATATTTATATTAAGTTTATAGTAGTGCTAATTTAATCAAATGCAAGGTTGCAATGGGAAGAAGCACAATATTTTAGAAAATGCTCTTAGTGTTAAGTATTCGATTAACAGTCCCAAACAGCGTTGGGCGTTAGCATTATTGACTGTTTTAATTTGTTAACGTTTGTGCTGGTAGACTGAAAGGTTGACTATGAGTTTGGTAGGCGCATGTGTTGTACTTTGTTGTGTTTTTTAGAAGAGATCGTTTGGCGTTAGGAATTTAGCTAATCCTCCTTAAGCAACAGAAGGAGGGTTATTAAAGCAACCACAATAGAACACAGACTATATTTTTATATATTTATATAAATAAACCAGCATATATATGTTAGTTCTGAAGAGTCTAGAGCCACACACACACACACAAGCAAGACAAGTGAACTAAGGGAAAAAGCACAAGAAGTGAACCCAGATGTAATTGGACTCACTGAAACAAAACTCTCTGGAATCATAATGAATGCCGTGTTTCCCCAGGAGTACACAGTAATAAGGAAAGAGAGGGAAGGTAGGGGAGGAGGCAGAGTGGCCCTACTCAAGAAAAAGGAATGAAATTTTAAGGAGATGGCTATCCCGGGCTGTGAGGGGTTCAGAGACTACATAGCAGGCACCATGACAATGGGAGGACCAAGAATAGTTGTAGCAGTAATATACAACCCTCCACCAAATGACTGAAGACCCAGTCAAGAGTACGAAAACAACAACATGGCAGTTAACACTATAATTGAGAGGGCAGCCTCTGCTGCTTGTAGAAATAGATCCTACCTGCTCATCATAGAGCCTCAAGCACTGAGTTTAAAACACACGGAAATCACAATAGCGTGATGCATTAAATGATGCATCACGCTACGGGTAGTAGCGTGATGCATCATTATTACACACGTATATAAAGAATATGTATATATATATATATATATATATATATATATATATATATATATATATATATATATATATATATATATATATATGTCGTACCTAGTAGCCAGAACGCACTTCTCAGCCTACTATGCAAGGCCCAATTTGCCTAATAGGCCAAGTTTTCATGAATTTGAGAAGTGCGTTCTGGCTACTAGGTACGACATATATAATATATATATATATATATATATATATATATATATATATATATATATATATATATATATATATATATATATATATATATATATATATATATATATTCTTTATATACGTGTGTAATAATGTCCATTGTGTATTACAGCTGAGTGCAGTGTTCCTGATAGCGGCTGTCTCCACATTGACAGCCGGTTTCCCGTTCTCCCGGCAATTCTCTTATTTGCAACAATACTCTCCCTACTACCCGTACCCTTACTCCCATCCGCTCTACAGTCAATTCCTGCACAACCGTCCATACTCATTCTTCAATCAATATCCATATTTCAATGACGATGGTAAGTTTATTGTATTAGTTTTATATTTGTTTGTTATTTACTTAATACATATATTTTGGATGATTTCTTGTGTACTTCATCAATATTTGGTTACAAAAATTATTTATTGAAAAGAATTATACCTTTCAAAATTTCCTCTGGTAGTTATGTGTAATTTTGAAGCCTTTGCTCATATGAATTATCAGCTAAAAAAATTTATGAATAATTTGAAATATATACAATATGTAACTGAAAGAGATTTAATGTTTTGTTTCAAGTTTTAACGGGCATATTTCGTTAGTTGTAGTTTAGATGAGTTTGTCCCAATCATTTTGATGTTCACACTTTTATTTAAATGTATTATACATGTATCATTTTTATTTTATTTTTGATCCATTATATATTACGTTCAATTGTAGCTCCTAAATATATATAATCATTCCATAAGAACAAAATCATCAACTTCCACCTTTCACTATCCCTGATTATTGACAGAAATTACTATTTGTTAACCATATATTTAGCAATCTTTTTAAAATTTGAACACATTATATAAGAGAGGAAAGTAATCATAATTTAACAAGTCCCAACTAATATTGGCAAGTCAATAGACTATTATGAAGGTGAATTGGGGCACCAAACATTTTTCCTTCGACAAATTTAAATATTTCTGAAAGTACATTTAATTTTAACAATGATATTCGCAGTAAAGTCAATATAAAATTTCAGAATTCAATTGGGGATAGATCATCACAACAGATGTTATCATCTGTTGCAACCTGAAAGCTGCTTTTTTGCAACATGAAATTTTTTCCAAGTCTCTGAAAGCCATTCTTAAGGCCTGAGTCTTTCTTGCAAAATGAAAGTCAATCTTTAAACCTGAAAGCCTTATTGATAGCCTGAAAGTCTTTCTTACTCTTTAAAAGAAAGGCGAAGAATTAGAGGTAACATGTTAGAGGTGTACATGCGGATGAATGGGCTGTGAGATTTTACATTCCTCACAGACTCTAGCACCGCGCTGGGCGCCAGATGTGAGGGTATTGGTGTGTGGATTTGAATGTTTGCCTTCTACAAACAAACGAATACACTGCGGTGGCGTGAGCAAGACGCCAAGGTCCAGGTAATCCGGGTGGAGAAGAAGGCCAGAAATCGTCTTCTATTGCACAAGCAATACCGGCCCTTCCACACTTAGGACGTTCGCTCTACAACTTGCTTGCAAGCCAATCTAGCAGGTAGCATATGGGTCCTCACACTGAATTTTAAATTCAGTGGACAAATCCACAAGGGCCGTGACGAGAGTTCGAACCTACGTACGAGAAGATCCTATAGGTTACAATGCCACATGTTTAATTAGAGTAAATTAACAAATATATGAATATTAAAAAGTGACATCTGGAACTCCTATAACTGAACAGGTCCAGCAAATCTAATTTCCGAATCTAACAGGTATTAGACGTGTGAAGAGCAACCCCGCTCCTGTCCCCACTGATATTGCCACACAACACGATAATTTACAAAAATATAATATATATACATATACAGGTAATGATGAAATGGAACAAAATAAGTTTATTTAAATTTATATACGTATCCAGCTAGGAGTACGTAACACTTCCACCTCCAAGAAAAAAAAAGGCAATTGATTGAAGATCAATGGCATTTTTTCTGAAAGTAAAATTATGTGACACTTGAGATTTATTGAATCATGAAAATAAAGTTCAGTTTTATAATCTTCTACATCACTGTTTTTACATATCAGGGATTTCACATATGTTCCTCTGGAGTATGTTAATTTATCTCTAAAGGGTACTGTCTCATTTAGTTCACTTAGTTTCAGATTATATTTCACATTCCCATCAACATTATTATTATTAGCATGAATAGAATTGTCAATAAATGTAACTGTTTTCACACAGTTAATACTGCAATTTATCTTTCCATCTGTTACTACTATTGATCTGAGATCAGTCCCATATTTCCCTTTTATCTATTTTCTATATAGTGAAATTTTCCAAGACAGGTTCCATTTTCCATTACTCCCTTTTTCTAGAGCTGAACTGCTTAATTGAAGCTGACTGGATGTAAGGTAGATTAGGGACTTCTCCTGGTTATGCTCTGACAAAGACATCTGCTGCCCAACACACTTGATCCTCTGTGGAACACATACTCTCGCCCAATGGATACTAAAATTAGAGAAATTAGCGTTAAACCTCACAATTACATATAAAACTTCCTCAGTCATAGAACCTTCAGAAACACAACACAACGATTTGGCTACCCTTTGACCTCCAAACCAATAAATACAACCCAAGATAAGTGCAAAGACTATCTGATCGAACTGACTCAGATGATCCTTAATGAACACATAAGTCAATTTCCTCATAACTCTGTCATGACGATCAGTGAAAGAAAACAGGCTTATGCCTAGGCACCATATCTCAATCTCAACTCCAAAAACAAGTGCACACCCTCTGATGGTGGACTTGAACACAACACACACTTTCATAAACCTTCTAGTCTTCCAAAAGATTAACAAAAACATGCTGCAAACTTGACAACTCTTACCATGGATTTCACTTCCCAAGTGATTTCCTTCTGATGACAAACAATCAAACAAGAGGTTTAAGGGTCTTATCATCTTGAAGATTCACAGTAGATTACCTGGGAACCACCCAAGGACAATCTGTAACCCTTCACAATTATTAACACTAGGTAGGATAACCTTGTCCCCCAACTTGAAACACACACCTGGAGCCTCAAACATCTGCTCCCAAGTATGATTAAATCCTTCAACACCTATTTGACTCTGAAAGTCAACACCAATATGACTCTGAAAGTCAATACCACACTTGAGTGGAACATACATGTTGTTCACTACTCGTACATCAAAATAAGCTGGTTCTGAATATAGAGACACTGCTCTAGTATGACTCACCACTTCCTCAGAACAACTGGATGCACAACCTACTTGAGTAAACTTTCTCTGCTCAACAACAAGGCTGGACAAAGATGTCCCACAGTCCATTCCTACAAAAGAGAATGGCACCTGCGGAATAAAAATAGATTGCAAAAACATCCTACACACACTCGGACTCAATTGACACAATGACAAATACTTACTCCCCATGGAATAAGAGTCACAAACCACAATACTCTGCAACTTAGATCCAAAAGATACTTTACTACCCTTAATGATTATACACAACTTACCAAAATTTCCTCCCATGACATCTGGAGCTGCTTTGAGTACTGTCTGTTCACAATCAATAACACTACCAAGCTGGGTCACATCCTCACAGACAACTGAAGAGGGAGGCTCAATAGGTCTCCATCTACTCGTCAGAAGCTGATCCTCTGGCTGATTTCCCACTCTCCAGAACTGGATCTACAATACAGACTGTCTCCTTGCTTCTCTCTGAAATCTTGGGGTCAGTTCTACTCAACTTACATAAATTAAAGAAATCTGAAGCGAGCGGACAAGTAACAGGTAGTTTGACCTCCCTCTTTACTAGGGTGAGGCGGGGCCTCTACAACAGACTGACTCTCGACAACTGATCCTAACTGGGCAACTGATTCTAAACTTGGAGTGCGGGAATACTTCTGCCAACTCGACATCTTGTCTTAAACCATTCACTTGGCTAGAATACAATAGAGTCGTGGCTTTTAAGTTTCTCTCAACTCCTGGCACAACGTTCGTAGTGAGCGGGCAAGACAATGGTACATGGACATCCTTTCCCAATTTATTGGAATAAAGCAGAGTCATAGTACCAGGCTTACTCTCAACAACTAGGTTGGCCACACAGGAATCTGGAACAACCACATCCCACTTTTCCACTGAAGGGGTACTGGTTACTGGAACAATTACTTGAGTAACATCAGAACTGACAACTGGATTAATAATAGTACTGACATCAGCACAGGTAGTGTGGACAAAACCATCTACTATAACAGAGTGTTTCATTCATAGAACTAACTTCAGCACAGGCAGAATAAACAACAGGGTCTGCAACTGGCTGTTTAAACAAACTGGGATCAATCTCACCCACAACATGATTTAAAGCCACATCATTACCCAATATAACATCCACACCCGGGATGGGCAACTGTGCACTAACACCCACAGTGCATAAACTTTATGTAATGGTGGATCTTAAAGTAACATCTATCAGAGGTACAGTTTTACATCCTGCAACACTCTGAAGAACTACAAACTTTCCAGTATCTCTCTTTGCAACATTAGAAAGTATACTGGATGAAATTTAGGTTTGAGAAGCACCTGTATCACGAAGAAAAACCACTGGCTTCCATTTCCCATTAACACACAAAACTTCACCTGAAGGCATATATGGAGAATACTGTTTCACCCAATTGGGGTTTACAGTTACATGTTCATTAGTTAATTTATTCTGCACACCTCTACAATAAATGAGACCAGTTGGTCGTAACTCAGGGTGCAATATAAATCTCTGTGTCTGGAGTCTGTTGTTAGCCTCAGCCATTTGTTTTTGAATTTCTAACTGCCTAGTTTGTTCTTCTGCTTGTTGCTTCTTTGTTGCTTCCAACTGCAACTGAGCTATAAACCTATGATTTCGTGCCTCATTTTCTAACTGTTGCTGCCTAGCCTTAGCCTCAATTTCTAACCTTCGAGCGTCAAGCTCCCTCTGTTGAGCTTCAGCCTCTAATATTTCCTGTTGGTTTTGAGCTTCAATCTCTAATATTTTCTTTGCCTTTCAAACTCACATTCTTTCTCTCGAGCTTCAAGATTAGCATATGCTACTTGCGCTTCCAACTCAAGACGCCTTAAAGCAATTTGCTCACTAGTCTCCTCTTTGACTTCCTCCAGAAATTCTTCTACTAACTCACTATTTTCTGCTAAATGGATCACTATGACTCTCAGAATTTGTGCCTTATTCATTGTATTGTTGGCTGTTAATTCTAACTTAGTTGCCATATTTATTAAGGCAGACATTTTTAGGCTTTTAATTCCCTCAAAATCTGGATTAGCCAACAACGACTCCACTTGATCCACTTGCAGGAAAACGGACGATTGCTGAAGGCATAAGAGATCGAAGGACATAAAAACTGTGAAATTTGAAACATTTAATGTGCGCATTAAATCGCATATAGCATTTTAAGCAGAGGGAAGTGCAGATAGTGATAAAGGTTAACCGAATAAAGGTTAATGAGAGCAAAACTAATTTCACAATGTACCATTTTAATATTGAATGACAGCTCGTCATTGAAAATAATATATCGATCCAAGCGAACTGCTATCTAATCTACATCTACTAATCCACAGCTATCATCAGCTTTGGAGTTGAGGACACTTACTTCCTAGATGACTTGCCTCATCCAGACCTGGGTCCAGTCACTAGTATTCTAGGTAAGTGCGTTAGAGAGAGAGAGAGAGAGATTTAGAAACAGAGAGAGAGAGAGAGAGAGAGAGAGAGAGAGAGAGAGAGAGAGAGAGAGAGAGAGAGAGAGAGAGAGAGAGAGAGAGAGAGAGAGAAATGGAAAATGTTTGGCAGATGAAGAAAGATTCTGAGAGAAAGAGATTTATAAAAAGTTCCCTCCACAAATGCGAGTGTGATCTTGAATTCTTGAATTTTGTCCTCCTCCAAAATACTGGATAGGTAGAATTAGATTACGAAAGATATAACACAAATACGTAATCGCATAATTATGTTTCTGTCTTCAGGAATTGTGGCCTTCAACGTGCTTCTCTTCCAAAAAGTTCTCTTTTCTTATTAGTTATTTTTTATCTTCACAATGCATCTATAGCTGTCCATTCCACTCCCTAATGCCTGCTTTCCTCTTTGGCCACCTTCCAGGTTCTTGTTCTGATCTCTAGGCACTTCCCTGGTTCTTCCTCTCTTCTGTGCCCTGTGCTCTTCATGCAAAGAAAACTAAAAAACTAGGAAAATATTGGTCTGAAAATAGTGTTGTTGAGTTATGGAACAAATTACGACATTACACAATAGCCTCAGGATCGGTGGATTATTTCAGTCGAAGGAAGGACACATATAATTGAATTAGTGTAGGTAGGCATATTAATTATTTTCTAGTCCTTATGATACTGGGATTAATTTGAAGAAGCGTTTGCATTAAGGCCTTTAATGTTATTCATCAGCATTATGTTGCCCCATTTAGATTATACAGGACAGTTTTATTCACAGTTCTCCGTGCAAATATAAAATCACTTGAATGTGTATCGAGAAAGTTGAAAGAGTTAATTCCAGCAATTCCAAACCTTCGTTATATGTAAAGAGTAACAAAACTTATTGTACAATTTCCAGGAAAACTAACAGAAATATTTGATATGATTTAAGTATATAAATTGATGAAAATGTGTACCATAGAGAAAATAAGTAAAGTCATAAATTTATTAGTTTAGATTCAGAAATTCGATTGTTGATTTTGATCAAATTACTAGGTAACAAAATAGATGTGGATTCAGTATATTTTTTTATGGCGTTGGTTAGACATACATATTAAGGTATGATTGAAAACACATAGAAGCGGCCTCGCATGAGCCAATAGTCCTTCTACAGCTTTTTCTGTTCCTATATTATTTAATTCCCATGCTACTGTTATCTTCTTCGGTCACCACTGTATGTTTTCCTCGAAGCTGTTGATCTGCAGTGCATGAACCGTCTGTTGGGATTTATTTTGTTAAGTGAGGTGTTTACTTCTCCAGTGTTGGTGTTGCTTGACCATCTCTACTTCTGCCTTTACTCTGCCTGACATGAACTCGTGCCCTTGTCTATTAGATCTTTATGGTCCTTATTTAATATGAAAAACATTCTCATGTTAAGACTTATTTGTGAGAAGTTGCTCGAAATTAATTGTATATGTTCAGATATTTGCCGGAAGATTCTTGCGAAAAAGTTAAACATTTTTGGCTAAAATGAACAATATAACTTTACATAATTGTAATGTTTAAGATATGGTAATTGGTCTTTTAATCCTGCAGATCTCCTGGCTTTCCAGGGTCTCCTTGGTCCCCTGGGTCCCATGGGTGCCCAGGGTCCCCTGGGTGCCCTGGGTGCCCAGGGTCCCCTGGGTGCCCTGGGTGCCCAGGGTCCCCTGGGTGCCCAGGGTCCCCTGGGTGCTCTGGGTGCACAGGGTCCCCTGGGTGCCCTGGGTGCCCTGGGTGCCCAGGGTCCCCTGGGTGTCCAGGGTCTCATGGGTGCCCTGGGTCCCCTGGGTGCCCAGGGTCTCATGGGTGCCCTGGGTCCCCAGGGTCCCCAGGGTCCCCTGGGTGCCCTGGGTGCCCAGGGTCCCCTGGGTGCCCAGGGTCTCATGGGTGCCCTGGGTCCCCTGGGTCCCCTGGGTGCCCAGGGTCCCCTGGGTCCCCTGGGTCCCCTGGGTGCCCAGGGTCCCCTGGGTCCCCTGGGTGCCCAGGGTCCCATGGGTGCCCTGGGTCCCCTGGGTCCCCTGGGTGCCCAGGGTCCCCTGGGTGCCCAGGGTCCCCTGGGTCCCCTGGGTCCCCTGGGTGCCCAGGGTCCCCTGGGTGCCCAGGGTCCCATGGGTGCCCTGGGTGCCCAGGGTGCCCTGGGTCCCCTGGGTGCCCAGGGTCCCCAGAGTCCCCTGGGTCCCCTGGGTCCCACGACGACCGAAGACAGTTTCGGCTCAAGACTACACAGAAGCGCACTTTATCCATATGGTTCAGCACTGGAAAGTGGCGGTAAGTAGTAAGTAAAAATGTTTGGAAGATGATGAAGGTGAGAATAAGAACATCGGATACCGTGATTTATCTGGGAATGATGGAAAATCTAATAAAAAAATTATTAACAACTAATTTAATTAGGAATATATTTGTTTAGTCACTCATTGAACCTAATAAGTTTCAAATATTACACAAAATAAATACGATCAAATATAATTATTGGATGTAATAATTGCAAGTATTTATAGGGAAATGCATAGAAAAAAGTGAGAGTTTTAATAATAAGTAACTTAAGTAATAAGTTTCAAATATTACACAAAATAAATACGATCAAATATAATTATTGGATGTAATAATTGCAAGTGTTTATTGGCAAATGCATAGAAAAAAGTGAGAATAAACATTTCCATTAACGAAAAAAATGTTTGCAAGCCGAGGCTTACAGGCTGATGCTCAAACCTGAAAAGACGTAAACGTGAGTATATGTAGGAGATATATGAGAAACATTGCAGTACCATACTTCACAGAGCTTGTAACAGTTGGACACGAGAGAGTTACAGCAGCAGTCATAAACAATCACCCAGAATTAAAGGTTATGGATATCCAAGTACGAAGCAGGAATTTTCCCTGTGGATCGCCACTCTGAGGTGCTGAAACACGAAACTGGCAGCCCATGAGTCTCTGGTGATGTCAATGAGCCTGAAAACCAATTCTTTGAGAAATCCCAAAGCATTCCTACCCCAGGGGAATGCGTCTCAGATGCTATGGGAACAATGGTGTATTGACTTTCCAAGCGCCTGTTTTTTACTTATTTTGCTATTTCTCTGTGGTTGGCCGCCCGACCTTCTTGATCAGCACCAGAGTGTATGTAGGTGTTAGCCAGGGTGGATAAACAAGTGTAGTCCCATACCAGTTGTTTGCCCATTTTCCAGGGGTATATTGTGATGCCATCTGGGCGAAGTGCGGGGGTCAAGAAAAACATAAGAAATATTGAGAAAATTCGTGTTAGAATTATTAATCTTACTTTTTCGGTCATATTCAACAACATATGTTTATAAGAAAGACTGTTACCAAAATATACTAATATATATATATATATATATATATATATATATATATATATATATATATATATATATATATATATATATATATATATATATATATATATATTATGCGAACAAGCCTGAATGGTCCCCAGGCATATATGCAACTGAAAACTCCACACCCCAGAAGTGACTCGAATCCATACTGCCAGGAGCACCAAGCAACTGGTGTACAGGAGACCTTAACCGCTGCGTGAATGGTCCAGGTCCACAATCGACTTGAGAATGGTCCAGGACGGACCGAAACGTCGTCGTCCCTTCACTTTCTAGTGTGTGGTCTGGACAACATACTTCGGCCACGTTATTATGACTCATCACCTGAACTCCTCTCTTCACCACTCCTCAGTCATCACTAAACACAATGATTAAATGTGCAAAGCACGCTGAATCACTTCTGGTGCCAGTGAGCATTAGAAACATATCTAAAAATACAAACAATTTCATATTACTTAAAAATTCAATATTTTTAAAGAAAATTACGTTTAGCGCCGTCATGTATAGTCCGGACCCCGTACGTACTATACGTGTCACGGTGAGGGTTAATTGAATTAAAAAATATTAACGTAACTGGTTAATTACGTTAATATTTATTATAGAAAGAAGATATTTGTACCAAAATATTGCCATATCTTTCGAGTATTTTCACAAATATTTCAATGATTTTGGATATTTTGTTTTCAATTTTTTTCGAGACATAATAACTGTCTCATTTGCAAAATTCTGAAGATATAGTCGAGTCTTCGACGGCGGGATGCAATTGCATACAGTCATGAGCGTTGCAGTTGAAATTAATGATCAAAACATTAAAATATCAAATTGCATCAAACATTCCCAATAATATTTCATATGCTTTGTTTCAGAACATACTCTTTATTCCACTCTCCGTTTGTCTATTTTTTTCTCTCTTTGAAATATGATATAATACATTTACTAGTCACTCTGAAGCTACTTGTATATTTATTAGAATAAGCAGTTTTTGTTAATACCGACAAAATTAAAAAAATTCATTATATTTTCTTTTGCAGACCTCCGTGCTCGCCTCTTCGGGACAGGTGTCGTTGCTTGACAAGCTGGGCCCATTGCCTATTAAGATGCCATCATAGTAGTCCCTTATGTTAACTTCATAAGGAGACGATCGCAACCCATTTATTCAGCAGACAACCAACAGACAGGATGAATCTTCCATACAATATAATAAAAAACCTTTGTTTCTGATATGTAAATGAATATTTTTATATATTGCTTGATTAGGTATAGTTAGGTCTAGGTTAGATTAGGTAAGTTGAACAAATCCACATGAATAAGAAATACTCTTTATTCTAAAGTACCAGTGTGTAGTGATGGGCCATCAAAAAGTTTACTTTTGTATTATTGAATTTGGAGAATCCTATATATGTTACTGCTAAACCTGTTTCCGGATTGTCCAAATTCAATAATACAAAAGTAAACTTTTTGATGGCCCATCACTACACACTGGTACATATATATATATATATATATATATGTTATTAAATGTGACCGAAAAAGTATGATTAATAATTCTAACACGAATTTTCTCAATATTTCTTATATTTCTTTTCACTGTTGATGGTAACTGAAAAATCAATTCTCCAAAATTCCTTTTTATTTCTAGTCTGACGTGACACTTGAACGCGTTTCGTAATAACTTATTACATTTTCAAAGACTTTAGTTTACACACACACAACTATAACTAAACAGACTTTAAACAGCTTCGATTTCATACCTACATTTGGGTGAGGTGATATGTTACAACAGTTTTGGATGAGGTGAAAACAAACTTTCCACACAAGACAGAACACGAAACAATGGGTATAATATTTTGTAAGTTAAAGGGAAGAATGGAAGTAACTGCAAAGGGCCAATTGGCCCATATTTCTTGATGCTTCTATATTGGTGCGGAGTCTTGAAGTGGGTAGAATATAGTTGTACATTAATTGGCTGTTGATTGCTGGTG